AAAGAAAATCGTCGTCGATGTGTTCACGTCCTCTATAATAAAAGTAGCCTGTCCCCTGCGGTTTTTATCTATACGCGCGCTCGACGATCTTGAGAGAGAAAATAGAGGGTCTGTGAACATGCTACTATAAAACGTGACATTGTGGAAGTTTTGCAGTGATGATAAAGAAATGTATCAAACAGTGTGCTTCACGCGCAGGGTTGTTGTTTTGCTGATTGAACCTATTGTTTTTTGTTTGTTTGTTTTTTTGTTTTTTGACGTTTTCGTTGCCATCGCCTTCAGGGTTGCCTGAGCTCCCCATTTACGCGCTCGAAAAATCACTGTAGGATATTCCGAAAGAGCTCGTATGCTTGGGGGTCTAATACTTCGTTTCCAGGTTCTCTCTCCTACCGGTCGTCTTTCTCTCTCTCTCTCTCTCTCTCTCTGTCTCTGTCTCTCTCCCCCTTCCTCTGTTGTCAGGAGTTCATAAGCTTGTCTAAGTATTGAAAACGACCGCTCACTCAATATCTCAGCAGATACTTTCTCAGTTGTCCCTGAAACTTCGAAATTCGGTGGTGGTGCATATTGTACTGTATCTTTACGAAAAGATTTTGAATTTACTAGTCACCCTGATTGTAACTTTTCCGACTGGCATTATTAAATCACCCTTTGTAGAGATTACTGTCCCTTGTGGGAAAAACATAATTGTAGCTACTATTTCATTGTTTCCGGATAAATTAAACATAAAGACTCCTTTCTACTCCTTTTAACAAATGTTCCTCAGTCCACTCTTATTTTTCACTTGAATTGGTTCGGTTTCCTGAGTTAGCTTCGGAAATATATTACATAATCTTTGTTTAATGTTAACTTTCTGAAAATTTGGTGCCGGCTTTGATTGCAACAGGGGAGTGCGTAGTCCACTTCGCCCTTTTTACCTTTTATGGGAGATGAACAAGTAAGAAAAAACCCCCGGGAAAAAAACCCACTGGAAAATAAGCCAACCCGGTGACGTTTTCTCCGAGTGCCTGATAAAGATACAGATTCCACTGGGTCTGTTACAGAGGTAGTCCAGGTGCCCTTGGTGCAGCAAATATATGATTCCGTTCACTTGGAAAGCTAACAGTTTTTAACACTGCTAGAATTATTCCTTGGACGTTGGTAGTTGATGCCAGGGTGGCAGTGGGTCTGTCAAGTGGGCCGTTTGTAATGAAAAGATGATAAAATATACCCCCTGCGAATGATATAATGATACCTCATAGAGGGAAGGGAACCGAATTTCATCGTACAACGAGAAACTACTAAAGATTATTTATGAATAATGATAAACATCCTGATTTTTATTGTTAACCATGTCTTTATGCCCTACTTACATCGGTACTTGCAGTATGTCAAATCTTGGGAAGCGATATTGGAAAGGCAGTGTGTTGGCAGGCTTTGCATGATGTAAAAGGGTAGGCTTTTACAAACAAAGATGCGATTTTTATTTTAAATGTTGCCTGTAAATTTTGAGTAGCATAGAAGCTGTAAAAAAGAATTTATGGTGCCAAAGTGGTAAACAAAGTCAACACAAAGACACCATTCTCCTCAATTCAGACCTTGAAGAAACAGACAGTAGGAGTATTTTACGAGTATTTTGGGAATCAGACATCAGACGCCGATAGTTGATCAAAGTGGATCCTATTAATCTTCTCTCCATACATAGACGTAGCAGTTCTCTGCTGGCATCACTTCATTCACCTTCAAATTCAAGAACTTTGGTTCCACACAGGGATACGACCGTTGCGAAAGTGGGTGCTGTACAGTACCGCAAATGATCCCCAACCGCAAGTGATCCCGAGACCGCAAATGATCCCCAAAATGGACCGCAAATGATCCTCGACCGCAAGTGATCCCTAAAGTCGACCGCAAATGATCCCGTGAAAACTTGAGGAATGGAATGGATTTTATGAGACTGATTACAAAAAAAGGACTGATTATAAAAAAGAATCCTTTTTCTCTCGCCTTTTAAAGAAAAAGGGAAGGAGGACGCTACATCTCAGGTCAATTTATACAAGGTGGAAAAAATTGAATAAATCTGAAAAGTATGGTATTAACCGTATACTTCTTCCTTTGTTGATTGCTTCAATTTTTTTTGAAGAATGTTTCGTCTTTTGAAAAATTTAAGACAGGCAGGACGTTACGCCGAAAAAATTCTATTATTTTAACGCCTAGAAGCTAAACTTTTCTACTGAGGACTACAAAGCTGGGCACCCTCTACATAACAAGAGCTTTATTGACTTTACTGATCTTTATGAAAGCGTGAAATTAATCAGCCAGAATATTTAATTTTGATTTTTCTCTTAAGTGTTAATTTTACGTGATAAACAGCAAGACATTTGTTCGTAACTTAGGTGCCCGTTACGAAACAAGACATGATTTAACATAAACACAAGACAAAATGCCCCCGAACTTATTGAATGTCCACAGGTTTCGGTTTATTTCGAAATAGCAACTTTCTTACGGCTCATGAACGTGTTGTGGATAGTTATATTGGCGCTTTTATGTATATTCATTTGTTGTGCCTTTGCTGAAGGCAGTTACCAGGAATCTAAACATGGTTATGAGAAACAAAGCCAGGTGAGCGGTAGTTATCGCGTGACAAAACATCGTGGGAAACCGTCACATTCACGGACTAAAAGAAAATCGCTTATGATTATTCGGATCCAGGAGGCACTTTGGAGAAAATTAAACAACCTAAAACCCTTATTTAGCGGCAATGAAGAGCCGACTGCATTTCAAAAAAGGTCAAAGGAAATTCTCTTGCATCAAAGGGCAAATCATGCCCACCAGAAACAACAATAATCGCAGAAAATGCATGTCATGACCTCTCAGTATGAAATAAGCGGCAAAAATCACATTTGCTTTGAATGATTTTTTTCATTTAGTATTTATTTGAGAAGTAAAATTTAGCTTTTAATTTGACTTACTGTAATAATAATAAAATCGACACGATGGTCCGATAACTTGAGTCCAGGTTATTCCTATTTTTCTTTCGGGATCATTTGCGGTCGACTTTGGGGATCACTTGCTGTCGAGGATCATTTGCGGTCAATTTTGGGGATCATTTGCGATTGGGGATCATTTGCGGTACTGTAAAGTGCAGATGTCTGCAGTCTATTACTAGCAATTCGCGTTTTAATGGGATGTGACTCCACAAGTATCCTCCATGGCATTGGCAAGAGAGCAGAAAATTGAACTTGACGGGCTAAAATCTTGGTTCAGACTACGCAGCACTTAGTTATGAAATGTCCTTGTTTCTTTCAAATTTAGCGGACTTTTGTATTGAGAAGCTTAAATTCAAATTTGAATCAACTCAGTAAGGTACAAACTTTTCACCAAAAGGAAAGTGGATAACAGCAAACTTCCCTCAGCAGAATACAGTGCTTTGTGTCATGTCAAACGAGTGAACTACCAGTGTTTCATCCGGAATCATGCTAAAGGTCGCATCCTGTCGCTGGAGTCACCTGGTGGCAATGGATGGACATGGGACGATGATTGTTGATGAGGAGAAGTTCAGCTCCTCAGAGCCTCCTTGAACTAGTCGTGTGCAGATCCCAGATAGGATGCAACGCAAGATCCAGCTGCCGGAATGTTGGATTGTTCTGCACCACCGCACGCAACTGTGACGATGAGTGTAGCAACAATATCCAAGAGAATGATTACGATGAAAACGAATTGAAATAGTTGCCCAAATCCTCTTCTTTTGTTTAACATTAAAAACACTTTCTCTTACAACGTAAAAAATTATGAACGATAAACAAAAGTAAAGGGAACATGTATTAGCATTTTCTATGGACTTTGTGTTAAGGATATAGTGGAGTTTTAGAACCAGTGGCCGCCATGTTGAATTTTTGAGCCGATAGCAAACATGACGTGATAGTTCGGTCACGTGACTTCTCATCCACGTCGTCATGTCAACGTTATGTCGTCTACTTCCCCTGAAATTTTTATCGTAATAGACGATTTAATTCCTGAGATATACGCCCTGAGACCGGAGAACTCAATTGATAAAAATCGGTAAATGTGATTTGATTGATTTCTATTGTATCGATCAATCGGTAGAAATCGATGACACACTCGTTTCCTTTATCGATTTGTATTGGAAGATACACCTGTTCATCAAAAGATGAAAACTGAATTCATGCAAACGGCAAAGTTATTGTTGACAATTGAGTTGCAACTGAGAGTCGAAGGATCGGAACATTTATCGCTGTATAGTTTATCAAACATTTATCACTTTTAAATGAATCTTTCAAAAAATCTTAATATCTTTTCTTTAAAACCAGGTTTAAACTCTTCTTCTGGCTGATATTGGTCATTTTTGTAGGCGCTCAGGTTTTCAGGATTTAGATCTCCCACCCCTTCAACATAACGTTGGTATAGTCTTATATCCCGAAGTAGTCAATAGACAAAAGTCGAAATCGATAGAAAATCGTTAGCAATCAACTGATTTTTATCGATTGATAACGGAAAATGGTGAAATCTATCGAGGGATTAGCCTGAATCCCAAGTCAAAGAAATGTATGAAATTTAGGCCAGGATTTCATTATCTAAGGTTGTATTTCTTGTAATATACTTGCCTGCGAGAACTGAATGTTACTGAACCATTTTTGTTGTTAGGTACATGTACAAAATAGAGGGTATTAGAGAGAAAACTGAAAAACTTGAACCTGGTTTGTTTGTAACATCCCTTGCCTACTTTGTTTTCGCCTTGTTCCTAAATTACATTTTGCGTTTCCAACCTTCATGCCCTTCACCGTTGAAAGATTCAGACAGAAATCAACATATATATTGCAATTAATCATCTTTTATTTGTTTGCACTACAGTGCTATGAAACCCATGTAGAGTGTCTTGCCTACAAATTACAGTATAACTCTAAATTAGTCAGCCTCTTAAATTTACGTCTCTTAATTTATGAGGCGATATTTTTTTGTTGCGCTTTGATGATGAAGATAATTTTTCATCAAACACGAAAAACTCCTTAAATCATGAATACGCCAAAGTAACCGTGTTTGGTTTCCAGAAAAATTTTTGTGCCAAGTGTATTAGGCCAATCGCTGGGAGATAGTGTGATGACGTCTCCAGCATTCAGTTGGAAAACCCCACCAACGTACTGGTTACCACGGAAGTCTGTTTGACTTCTGTCCGGTTGAATAATGTTAACGGTGAATCCGTTAACGTTGATATTGACTCGGCCATTGCTGTGGAAGTACAGTTGAGCGTAGATGTAGTACAGTCCAGTGGCAGGTACCGTCAGTTTTCCGTCTTGGTACGTCATATTGCCCCTAAGATAGCTGTGCGGAGAGTTGAACGACCAGTCCGTGATCACTACGAAGCAAATTATAAATAGGCGTATGTGATTTGAGAGATAAAGTGATCACTCGTTAAGAATTTTCGAAAATTTACTTTTAACCCTACCCAATACCCCATATCTTAGCCTACCAGTTGATCACTACGAAGCAAAGCAGCACGACTTTCAGAGATTAATAATGAGATCGCATGAAAAATGTTCGCCATACAAAGATACAGCAGAAGTAGTCGTTCACTTTATACTTGTTCTCCAATAATTTTTCCACTGATTTATGCGTTTAAAAAAATCCTAATCCTTGCACATAACTTTTCCTTTCAAAGTTCTCACTTAACATAAATAAAGTTAATACAAATATAGATTATAGGAGCAAAAAACTTTAAGTACCTGTGTTGGGTGGATAGTGAACCTCAAGCTTTGCGAGAGCTTCGAGTTGAGCAGCTGGCTTTGTCAAATCCTAAAACAGAAAAAAAAAATACGATAAACCATTACATGTAATGATGCAAATTTACTTAGTATAACATATACATACTAAAAGCTGATTATCGTTCTGACGATAAACGTTTTGTAGCTGTTGGTGTTGTTTTTCTCTTGAATGAAATTGCCGAGAGTAAATGCGGAAAAATGCCGCAACGAAATTGTTGAGGCCCCAAATGTAATAAATGACCCTAAAGGTAATAAAGGTCCTAAGTGCAATGAATTTTGGGCCTAAATGAAATAAAAGTCCTAACAGTAGTAGAAATAACTATTGGCTCTAAACTTGATAAAGTCACGGTGACTGAAACGTGCAATGGTAGCAGCCTAGTCCCAAGTCCCAGTTCTTAGTTTTTAAAAGGGCCGTACCAGAAGTTAGGCGTCATGCAAATTCAACGGTTTCCAATTTCCTACCTTCATCTGTTCAAATTACTTCTGCTGGCCTACAAAGCTCTATTAAAATGGACGGTCCTTGGTACTTTATCTAAGTACCAGAGACTACATCAGGAAACTACGCTCAAATTCCTTAGCACTCCAAACAACTTCAATACCAAATCTTATTGCGATAGGAAATGTCCACGTTTATGCCAAGTAAAAACCTATCTTTCTGAGTTGTGATTAGTTGTTTGACTGATCATTAGATCTAACCGGATCTTAATATATATCGTCCCTTATTTGTAGAGGTTTTTAACTATATTTTCTAACGCGCTACAATAAAAGTTAGTGGGTTTGTACTATACGGAATTATAGTATATAATGATATCAACAACAGTATTTCCAAAAAAAAAGGATGAATTCGAGAAGCAAATTATAGCTAAATACCACTTTCCGTTTTTGTACGTACTGGCCGTAGAAAGAGATTTCTGACTCAAATGAATATGAACCTCATTAAAAAGGACAGAAAACACTATCTTTTTTAAAAGATAAAAAAAGTTCACTTACCTCACCCATGAATGCATGAGCTGTAAAAATCATCTCTGCAACGAGAAGCAACAAAAGGCGAGCCATCGTGTAAGCTTGTTGCCTTGATCCTCAACTCAGCGCTATGAAAGAGAAATGACACGACTGCGGTGAAGGCTACCAACTTTATTGACGTCCAAACACGAGTTACTGCACGTTTCGAAAAAGCAAGTATTTGAGCAGCTTCGTTTTCCCCATCTAAGTTTAATTACGATCGGAACTTAATTAGGATGAACTGCTTAATTATGAATCTTGGTAAAACAAATTGCAACACGCCTACGGCTGATTAAACACTCATCTTTGCAGGGTTTTCTGCGATTTTAAAGACATTGTTTTGAAATAATATTTGAAATGGTGAAAAGTTAACTCTGATAAAACTAAGTTCCGTTTCAAAGATAAGAATAAAATATTGAAACATATACTATATACTTTTTTAAAGTTTTTGTCGCTTAACGTGAGAGGTTTAAGAAATCGAGAAAAAAGAAGATCAATATTCACATACTTGAAAAACCAAAAAGCTAACGCTTATTTTCTTCAAGACACTTTTTCGAACTCTAGAGGGCGGCGGAATGGGGTGGTTAAATTTTATACTTCATGCAGATGTAGTGGAGCTCGACACCAATAGGAGATTATAATTTTGCATCTAAAAACACAGGGTGGGGCCAGTTTAAATGTGGTCAATGTTTACGCCGCAGCGATAATCGTGATACAATAGAATAGTCCTTTATACAAAATGTACTTAGACGTTTTAATTTTGGTCAGGATATTAGGAAAAGGATCTCTGTACTATACAGTGATGTAGAAAGTGCGGTCTTAAACGGAGGCTATTGCGACTAATTACTTCAAAGTCTCTAGAGCCGTTACACAAGGATGCCCCTTAAGCCCTTTATCATTTGTTTTAGGTGTAGACCGAGGTAATGGCCTCAAACTCAAGGCAGTCCCCGGAATGCCGAGGAAAAAAATTACCGCAATCACTGCATGGAAGCCAAAATTAGTCAGTTTGCAAATGATACCACTCTCATCTGTGGTGATATTAATGCGCTCAAAGAAAGCATGAATGTTATAAATAATTTTAGTGCCATATCAGGTTTCAAATTATATGGGAAAAAAAAAACGAAAGCAATGTGGATTGGTTCGGCCAAAAATAACGAAACTAAACCCCTAGGCTTTGAATCTTGTAAAGAACCGATTAAATCTTTAGGAATATATCTATCATACAAACATGATAACTTAAACTTCTTTACCAAAATTTACAAAATGGACACAAAGCTGAATATATGGCAAACAATAGACCTAACTTTATTTGGACGCACAATGTTGGTTAAGACCCAGGGCTTATAATCCAAATTACATGGTCTATGCAGCCTCTATATATGCTGCGTGTTCTTGAAATGGTTATTAAAAGGGCTGAAGAAAAAATAATAAGTTTTTTGTGGAAAAACAAAAATGATAGAATGAAAGGATCTGTTATATATCAATCTCTAACAAGTGGTGGACTTAATTTTCCTAACACTGGACGAAAA